ATAGTGAATGTTATCAGCAGGGTTTTTTTTTTCTGTTGATCTAATTCACTTTCTTGGTACTGCCACTTGGCGTTAACTTTTATACTATTCTCTGGATATCTTGCATCTGCATAGCTCTTTGACCTGCTAAACACTGTTCTGAAATGGTTTGCTTAGCTTTTACTGTACTTCATAGTAAAAGCACAGATTCAAACATAGTCTGTCTGCCACTATGTGGCTTGGAATAACATGAACTCTTGTGCAAGTGTTCTCGATCATATGAAGATTAAGGAAACCTCTCATATGACACAATGGGACAAATTGCAATATTTTATACTGGGGTGAACTTTGTTTCTGTAAGGTAGACAACAGCTCTTTTTAAAAATGCGAAATAAGTATTTTGAGCACATTGCATATGTTAAAACTTTTTATACTAACTTGTTCTTTGAAGTATAACTTATTTTTGTTTTCAGAACTTACTAAAGCACTTAGTTGTTATTATTTCATAGCGTGTACATGTAATGCTTAATCAACTGAGAGTTGCCAACTATGTGAGTCTTCACCCTTCTCTATTTTAAGTAAAATCAACTCCCAACGCGATTTTAATTTCTTAACTTTAATTCTAAAGATTGCTGTAAAGCACAGTGCCTGAATCCTGACACAAACTAATAATTAAGGGCTTAAATCTCAAAGGGTTTTTGCATGGTTCATGTCTGGTATGCGTACATTTTATAGGAAGAATTGGAGATCACATTCTGGGGTACCTCCTCTCTTAGTTTTTAGCAGAGGCTAGGATGTTGCAGTGATAAAAGCCAAGAGACTTCTAGGGTGCATTCCCTCTAAAACTGGCTTATTTTAGTGGAATTCAAAGGCCACGAGAGTAAAGACTGTGCTGTGATTGTGTATGTGTACAAGTTCTTAATCTAGTCTGTGGCGATGGTTGGATATTTTTTTTAATGTTAATTCTGGTCTAATTACTTCACTCACACAAAACTAAGCTGAATGATAGGGAAAACACAGATAATCCAGATAGCTACATCTGTACTTAAAAATGTTGTGTGCCTATGTGCGTATACAAGTATATGTACACACACATACACAACTTCATGCTTTGACTTAAGAATGTATCAGCTTTTAATATAATTTGCTGTGCTTTTGGTATTTACATGAGGCTTTTTCTAGTCTGTTGAAGTACTACTATTTTCTTGCTCTTTCTCCAAAAATAAAAAGCATGATGTTTAGCATAACTTTTTAATGTTGTGTGTATTTTAATTTACCCTTTCAGTGAATCAAAACCCTACCCCCTTTCCCAAACCTCCCATAAGAAAACTAGGACTAGTCATCACCCTTGGACCAAAGCAAGCGATTTTTAAGTTGCAGTGGAAAAGATTCTATCTACCTATATTTGGAATGGAATTTCCTACTTCTCTATCTTAATTAGATTTTACTTGTTTCTGAATTCAACAGAGAAAATTCTGTCTCTACCACTAGAATTAATGATTTTTCTATTATGGATCTTTAGACATTGCCACTCATTAATAGAATCACTGGTGAGAATGGACCTGAGCAAAATTCACAGTACTTTCTCTTACATAAACTTAAAAAACAAAAGGATTTATCATGCTTGTGATTTGGGTAACATGGAATGTTTAGCTGCTATTCCCTGTACTAAGGGAAGCATAAACGTCTTTAGGCATCACTCCACAACATCTGGACTGGAAAACAGGATAGATTACTAGGACTTGCCAAGTTTTCAGCACTTTGTCCCTTTTAATAACACCATCTTGCATGGGAGAAAAGTTGTAATCTATATTCCTAAGGCAAATTCAAATGCCATGAAGGCTGGCTAGCCAGATGAAGGTTTTAAAAAGAAGACGTTTGTTATTAAGTCTATAAGCAGTTGTTCCAGAGGCAGATTTCCATGCCTGGTGTTACACTTTGGAGCTGTATGTCCTGACCACATTATAACAGCACAAAGCAGGGAAATTGCTCTGAAAGAGGTACTCGATGGGAAAGTACAGCTTAAATACTGAGCGATTGTTACATGCTTCAAGTTACAAGCTTCAAGTCAAGAGTTTGGCTGGGCGCATGATGGAACAAAGCTGTGTCACTGCAAAAGCTTGTGACCCTTGGTCCAAACCACATACCAGTACACCCTTTCCATTTTTACTGCATAACCCCATTTTGTCTTACACTTAACTTTTTAAGGGTATAAATAAAGAAACTCCGGTAAATTTCCCTACCCAGTGAACACTGCAGAACTCTTCCAGTCCCACACAGCACAGCCAGTAATCAGAAGGCCCAGGAAAAGGCAGGTTTACAAGGAAACAAGGGCAGTCAGGCTGCTGCTGCCTGGAGATGGAAAACTATTGAGTACAGCAGTTCAAAAGGCAATCTGCCATGGGTAACTTCACTGGCCTTTCTCCAAGGGGCCTACAAATGTGATAAAGCAGTTAGAAACAATTGCTAGGTCTCCATTCGCTGTATTTGAGGTTGGGGTTTTGTGTTTTGGTTTTTTCTTTTCTTCAGCATACCACCCTCATTCTATTGCTATGACAACTGCAGAGTCATGTTGCCATAATTATATTACAGTCTAGTCTCCTGGAAATAGTCTACAAGAAGAGAAGAGTCTGGAAGAAGTGCTCCACTCTGGAGAAAGTAGGTGCTAAAAAACACAGGTGGCTGATACTGTGGCAGATAAAACCGATGAGCATTTATGTTCAGCTTCAGCTCCAGGTGAATTCACTGTCAGTCCTATTGATTTTAGTGGGTATGGACTTCCAAGCAGGGATCTTCTCCCGAAATCAGAACCACCGTTTTGTCTTGTTTATTTCCACGACTGTGGAAGAGCTGCATGGTATCTCTACTATGATACAAAAGAGAGTCAAATACACACTACAAATCTACTACTAAAAGGTACTGCTTTAGTGCAGTGAAACATAAAAGGTGATCATTAGAATAACCTGTAACAGTTGTAATAGTGTAGCTTCAAATGAAGAGTTTTCCAATAAAGGTGGGGCTGAATTGCACTCTGAGTAGTTTGAATGCTTGCTGAAGTTGAGTTTCTAATAGAGTATTTATTGTATTCATGTAAAATTGGAAGACTAGGAGAATGATGCAAAAATTATTACAGTATTTGTAATTAATTTAGTTATAGGTAGCTCCATCATTTTACATGACCTTTAAAATAAGTTGATTTTCTAAAACTCTTTACAATTTCTTGTAAGTAAGACAGTTTGAAAAACTTTAAATGCAACAAAAAGAGTAGCAAAGCCCCCAGCATCTTTATGAAAAAGTTGATCCACTTAGTATCTATAGACAAACCTAAGGTTTTGTGTCATGTTTAGCCTAAGTCCTAAGGAAACAATTCTTATGCAGTAACTCTGTCCAGGCATTTTCTGTCAGTCTGTTTGCTACAGACTAGACCTGATAGGACAGAAGTTGGAAAGTTGCTCTGTTTTTACAATCCTTGTAAAAATTTGGAGGTGGAGAAGGAGAGAGACTCACTGCTCCTTCCATGGACAGGACCACAGCACTTGTGGTTTCTGTTTGTCCACCCAGCCGCCAGAAAGCAAAGGCTATGTGGTCAGGCAGCTGCTGACAGCACTGCAGTAGCCAGGACACACGCTTTATCTTCCTCAGTGCTGGGTGCCAGTGGGCAGTGTGGGAAGGAGGTGAGTCTTCAGCACATCTTCTGGCCTGTGAGGATGAAAACTGGGGATACAGCAAGGGGTCCCAGGAAGATCCCAGATGTTGCCTTCAGGACTAAATGGAAGGGGAGTGTTATGGGAAGGGATGTAACAGTTTCTGGAGCTTGGCACAGTCTGGTAGGAGATGCCGAGGTCCTGGGACACAAATTGTTTAAGATCCTGTGTTTCATTAGTTCTGCTGCTGCCAGCTTGGGAGAGTTTTCATGTCCTTTTTCAACTTGTTTGAGAGACTGGGTTTATGCTACTTGTCATGTATTTTTGATGTGAAATAATTTGTTGCAGGTACATGCTTTTGCTTAACTAGAAAGAATGTGTTTTATTTGCTGTGCTGCCTAGCTAAAGCCATTCATTTTGACTGAGGAATTAGATTGCTCTGAGGGCAAAGGGAACTAATTCCCCCACTGTGGTGTTCAGCTGACCGCTGGAGAGGAATGTGAAATGGGAGGATTAATCGGGTACATGCCAAAGAGAACCCTATCAACAGGTCTTTTCTCCAGTGTCAGTTCTGTGTCCTTCAGCTA